AGGTTTTGTATATTTGCTGTTATGTTCAACTTATATTAAAGTTTCTTTTCATTACCCATTCAAGCCGTCTCCAACCATTATTAGTCTCAAAGTGGGTTCCTCGTCATCGAATTTGACCAAGAGATTGAAATACACCTATCTATTGATTTTCAAATTATTTCAATAAAACAGATTTATTTACTCAAACACTGTGTAAATAAATGATACAACCAAGTATAAGTGTTTATTTGAGTAAATACTGAACGAGAGAATGAATTTTTGAAGAGGGTTCAACACGATACATTGTAAACGTAATGTCCTGTGGGGATATTACAGGAACCAACCGATAGCGTGGGTCATAGCGCTGTTTGAGATGAGCGAAAAGAAGCACTTAAACATTTGCGTTTGGTGGAAACGAAATGGTTCCAATTATACGTTTCTGAGTATTTCAAATTGTAAAATGAATACATTGTTTTATTTTATTCATGTAGATGATGCGCGCGTTGATAATCTTGTGTCTTACTGGAATGGCTCTTTCTGACATGCCATGGTCCTTTCAACCAACCTTTACATTTGATTGTGGTAAGTGCACATTTTATACATAACGATTAAATTTGCAGTACCTAAAATTTCTGTTTGTTTTAATTTATTGAAAGGAAAATAAAACAAGTTAGAAAGAGTTGAAGAGAAATAAACTATCCAACCTTTTGTATGAATTTATAAATAAGCCCTGATATAATAAACTCCTCCGAAGGCTCATCCTGAGGTCATTTTTAACAGAATAAAAAACGTGTAGTACAGATGTACAATCTCGTCTTGTTAGAATGGTCCACACTTTGGGTCCCCTGCTGGTACAGCGGTAAGTCTATGGATTTAGAACGCTAAAATCAGGGATTCGATTCTCCTCGGCTGACACAGCAAATAGCCCGATGTGGCTTTGCTATAAGAAAAATACACCTAACCCACATTTTGGTGATATAGATATTGTGTGAGTGGAAAAGGACACTTGATCTAACCGAGTTTTTATGTTTTATCAGGTATATGCCTTGAGTCCTAACTAAAATAAAACACTTGTAGTATCGCGGTATGAAGGTCCAGTATGTGACCTTGAAAAGCAGTCATATAAGTATTCTGATTTAGGTATATAATTCCGAGAAATGTACGCAAAATGTTAATTTAATGTTTATTTTTACATATATATACATGTTCGCGTGTGCGCGTACAAGGGAAAATAAATTGGTGTGAAATATCCGTAACTTTTGGTATGTTTTTACATTGACTGTTCACTGAGCTATCCATTATAATGTTCAAGTAATGTTCCTAACAGTTAATGATGCCTATTGAAGCTTAAAGCATATGAATAAGACTCTCGAAACCATGTTGTTAATAATATCACACATAATAATTCAGTTGTTGTTGTTGTTGTTTATCTTTGATATAAACTTTGAGTAATTTGGTATTCCAAATCGAACTTTACAAAGGTGTTCAAACAACAAGCGAAGAAGGAAGATGAATTCATCATCCCAACCAGAATGTTTGCTAAGTTAATTTGCAAAGAAAGCTAGTACGATCATTTAAAATTTATTCTTAAATTGCTAGGAATTACGCTATTTTATATATAACTTCTAACGTGTGTTTTCTAGAAGAACACGATGAACTCCCTGTTAAGTTTGCACAATTAAAAACTTCATTGGATTTCAAAGCATACAAACGTTTAATAACAACAACTTTTTATTTTATGTGACATTTTTCAGGTAAACCTGACAAATATATGGCTTTCGTAAGTTCCAGTATTACTCCCGACCCTATTCTGTACCCTGGGAGTGTTCGGGTGACACTGAATGCAAAGGTTTTAAAAGTCTTACCGGAAAGCAACTTTAAGATGAAGCTTACTTTGGTAAAACAGACTCCTTTTCCAATGGTAGTGCCATGTTTCAGGAACTTTGGATCTTGGTAAGGAATGTAATCTTACCACCATTACAACTTTAAACAAAATACCCACTTTTAATTCTTTCATAGATTGTTTAAGCAAAGTAGTCGTGACGAGATTTGGTTGAATAAGCGTTTCGAAACGTCGTCCTCTATACCGTCCATTCAACTACATTTCAACACACTTTTTAACATATAACATTCATCACTGGAATTTTAGTTGTATTATAACTTATTGTGTGTTGAGCTGTTGTAAGTTGACATAATTCATAACAATACTGCACTGTAGACGTCTTATTTCTCTAGATCACTTTACCGACAGAAATGAAACTATCATAATACAGATAAGGTTCCAATTTACGCTTAGAAACAAAAAGTTAAACGCATAACATGTCCAATACTTTTAAACACGTTTTTACATGTGCATAAAAAGGTGCGTGGTTTCTTGGAATGTGTAAAGATTGCAACGTGGTCCATGTTCAAATGCATTGGATAAGGCCCTAGAACTTTCTACAGGTCCATCTGTCGAATGTTGTAGGGTATTGTCTGTTTTTTTTTAATGCGATTTACCAAATGTTTTCGATCTTATACAATGTCGTAGGAATTTCTTTTTTGTCAGAGGGAATAACTAGTAATTTTAAAGAATGGAGATTTATAATATATAGATTGTAAATATCATTGTTGTTTTGGTCCAGATACAAATTTCTCTACTTGAGAAAGACTGCCGCTGCTCCCACTTGCTCCCTCTACACAAATCAAGATGGAGTGATCGTTCCCACTGCTCCTGCGCCACTAATAGTACATGTTTTTTTTGTTTGTTTTCTTACCTTCTATAACATCTATAAGTAACAATTAGATGACAATCGCCATTGTAAACAATGTTTAGACCATCATTAATATGTCGTACGTTTATGAAATTGAAGTTTACTTAATAAAGCATCTAGCGTTAAACAATGTTAAATATCTGTGTAAGCGTGTTTACGTAAACTACAAGCTATATTCATCCTTAGAGTTAAAAAATGTTAAACATCTGTGTAAGCGTGTTTACGTAACTTACAAGCTATATTCATCCTTAGAAGTATGAAGCTTCACGCAGTATTATACTTGGTTACTATTGTATCCTATTGTTGTGTTTCTCGTGGGTGTACGGAGGTTGTTTAAAGGAGAAGTTTGAATGTAGCCAATATCACAAAAGGCTCAGAGATGGAATCTAAGGCAATACGGACAACCTAATACTGACTTCGTGAATGAATGCATTGCTGTGTTTTTCAAAAATGTTTTTCTTTTTTCTTAACATTCAACTTTTTATCTGGAAGCGGGGATTTAATACCCCCACACCCTGTAGCACATCTATCCGCATATGCCTATGAATTATATAAATACATAATAGGTGTGTGTGTATATATATATGTGTGTGTGTGTGTATTTATAAATATCCTTTTTGGCAAAATTTTACAAACACATAAATGTAAAGGTATAGTGTCAGAATAAGAGGTAAAAGTAAATACACAAACACACATAGATAACTGAACATGTTGAGTTTTATAAATGAGAATTCTAATCAAACGAAAAGCACAAGGGAGAATATAGAAGAGACGAATGACTTAATAGAGATTGTAAAACAAAGTGTTATCGTTAAGAGCTCACATCAACTCTCTACCTGTGGACCGTTAGCGATTTCGAATCATTTGTAAAGTATATACAGCAAAGCAGCTCGTTTGGAAAGCATAAAAATTACAAAAGCTATACATATAATGCATAAAAGGGTAATTACGTATATCCTGCTAGTCCTAAGTTGCTACTGATGACTATGTCAAGGATATACGTAATTATCATGGTGCTAGTCCTAAGTTGCTACTGAT